CTGGGAGTTGAAGTCCAGACATCTTCAAGTTGCCAAGGTTGAGAAACACTGTATCTAGTCCAACCCCTGCTCAAGCAGGAGACCCTAAACTATTCCTGACAAATGGCCATCCAATCTTTTCTTTGAAACAGTGATGGAGTACACACACAACCTCTGGAGGCAAGCTTTATAGCTTTGGTGTCTGAAGTCTGTGAAATGACTCTAGTTCTGCCTAATTAAGTGCTATGATTCCCCCTTGGCCCTGCACTTCATTGCCACATGATTCTGAGGTATGCTTGTGTCGAGGTCATACTTAAATATGCAATGTGCATAGGTTTATGGACATGTGATCTGGTAGTTCTCGTGCATGGTGTTGTGGGCAATGGATGCCACAAGCCACAATTTTGTATGGGTGGTCTTTGAAGGGGAGAATTGATAACTTAAATCTCAGTGAAGAGGGTTGTGGGATACCTATTCCTGATCCAGCAGATACTTCAGTCGGGCAATGCCGGGCTTTTATCTCATTCAATTAATATCCTCACTCCCAATTACAATTAATATATGGAAGGGCAACTTCTATCTTCTCACAGGTTAGAGTGAAAGGGCTAGAATCCCTTCTACAAACCATGGCAGAACTTCTAAAAATGCTCAGAAGCATTTTTTCCCCACTCTTCACGTTTGTTAGAAATCATGCAGGTCACCTAGTCTCTATGAAACCTCTAGAGTCTTTCCTAACCTGGGCGTCACTAGATATCTGAACCATCTCCCAAAATTCCCCAGATAAGATGATCATTGCTGAGAATTCTGGGAGTTGAAGTTCACAAGTCTGGAAGCTACCTTGGGGAAAAGATATATTTATATCAGATTTCCCCAATCTGGTGCCCAGGAAAATTAAATCCAATGCTGGGCTTTAATTCACAAAATTCCCAACCAGCAATGTTTGACATTCTGGGAAATGTAAACCAAACACCATTGGAAAGGTACCAACTTGAAGAAAGCTGCTTCCATAGTGAACTCTCATGGCTGTTGCACTTCTCTTCAGGCATGGCATCATCATCTCCCATCCCCTTGTGTCACTTGTAATACCTTATCGCTGGCTACCCTTTTCTAGCCTTGGCCAACTATTGCAATAAAGAGAGAAGAACACAAATTGGTACTTGAAAAAACAACAACACAAAGAGATCATCATTTTACGGCACTAGATGAGTAATGCAACGTGTAGTTAGTCAAAACACAATCCCCCTGATATACAAGTCAATCTTTCCCAAGCTGCCTGAAGGTTATTTCAAGGTCTGGACCAATTGATGGACCTTTGATGGACCTTTGCAACAACGCACATGTACAGGTGGGGTACACACACCAAAAGATGTCCCGCTAATCAAAAGTGGTGGGAAAATTTGCTTTAACGAGGACTTTATTTCGAAGAGAACTGTTGGGTGGAGCAAGGGCAAAGGAAGAGTTGATTGATGTAAGGCAAGGAGGTTTTCGTGATCGGCTACACCATGCCACTTTGCATGTGTATGTGGAAGGAATAGGGCTGGTAGATAATAGACGGTTGTCCATGAGCGATATAGTAATTGCTGAAGTTCCTGTCACTGATATAAGGGGCAGGCTGATAGTAGCAGGTTACGTTGGCTACATTGGGGATGATGTTTTGCTCTCCCAGTACTTTGAGAGCCAGGATTGTAATCATATTTAGCGTTTGCCTTCGTTCGTGGCCCATAAGGCAGACCGTGCTCTCGTTCACAACACCGCGCAAGGTCATCAGGTAGTCGTACTTGCTCTTCTCTTCCCCGATGAAGTGATTGCGCAGGTAAGACTCAATCTTCCGCTGTTGCTCAGCTACATCTGGAAAGTCAATGAAGAACCGAGAACACATATAACGTTCCAATGACTTGATCTCGACTTCATCCGCCGGCTTAAAATCCCGGACTAGGAGATTGCTGTATTTCAAAAGACCTCCTCCGCGGATCTCTTCCGGATTCCTGGTAGCAATCAGCTTGTATTTCAAGTGGTCCATAGCTTCCTCAAAATCTCCGTACATGCTCTCCGCAATGACAGACAGCTCTGCGTCTTCGGTAAGTTTGCCATTCGCATCACTGTAGACATCCAAAACAGTGTCAAGGATGATCTGAAAGGAATCTACACTGAACTCAAACTGCCTCCGCAGGGAGTTGACGAACTTGAGCTCCACATTTTTGCCACTGTTGTTGGACAGGGAGATGAGGCTCCAGCGATCATGATCGGTGGACACTTTCACCATCTTCTGGACATATGCCTCTTTCATGGTCTGTGCTGTGATTTTTTCCTTGTTGACGCCTTTTGGTAGAAAATCCAAGAGGCAATTCAAGACAGATTCCTTCACGACCTGGAATTCATGTGCGCTGGGAAGCTCCACCCCAAAAATGATGTCCAGGTCTTTGTAGCTGGTGCCATTTTGCTTCACCAGGATGTGACTCGCCGTGGATCCGTTCAAGCGAATGTCATGGACAACGATCTGTTTCTTTATCAGTTGCTCTTTGACGACATGAATGATGTCTTTTGGCTTTACCTCTAAAGTTGGAAAATTCCCTCTTCCGTGAATGGGGATTACCTCAGTCAGCACTTGATCCAGTATTTTAATCTGTTCCCAGGTGAGATAACTGAATCTGTGATCTAAACCCTCAGTCATCCTGAAATCAGGTGGTCAACTAAGAAGAAAAGCACAAAAAAAGAGAGGAAGAAGTCAGGAACATCTTAAGAGTTAATACATTTGGCAGGGTGGTTGCATGATAAAAACTCAAGTTAGAATTGATTGACTGATCAATTGATTGATCTGGAGCTGGGGAAGAAATGATAACTTCAGTAATTCCACTGGCCCAGGAGATATTGACTATGGTCTCCATACATGCTTTCAAGATTTGCATACGGGCCATTCTTCTCAACCTCAAAACATTTATAAAAGGTTTTAATGCAAATTTATATGGGTCTGTAGCTTTTTACAGGACCAAGAACCTTGGACAGACACTGTTTTGAACCTGGCTTGAGATAAACTCTGTGTATAAAGTATTGACAAAGATGCCACCTTAGACTCCTGTCCTACTGCTAAATGTTATCCCAGAATGTGTGCAGAATTTTGAATGAACTATTCAAAAACTAAACAATTCCCTAATTCCCTATCTCCTTATCTTCTTAGGACTATAACTTTGTTGCTTGTGTCTTATGATTGATAGCATTTACTTAGTATCCTAGTATGATTTATATTGAATGCTTATTTAGCATCCACGACTATCAGTAAGTGTTGTATCTAATGTTTTATTATGAATGTATTTTTATAACAGGGACACGGTGGCTCAGTGGCTAAGACGCTGAGCTTGTCGATCAGAAAGGTTGGCAGTTCGGAGGTTCAAATCCCTAGTGAGCTCCCGTTATTTGTCCCAGCTTCTGCCTACCTAGCCATTCAAAAGAAGGTAAAAAATGCAAGTAGAATAATAGGGACCATCTTTGGTGGGAAGGTAACAGCGTTCGGGTGCCTTCAGCGTTTAGTCATGCTATCTGACTATCTGAGAGACCGTCTCCTGCTACACACCTCCCAATGTTCGATAAGAACTCACAGGTTAGGCCTCCTCCAGGTGCCGTCTGCCGGACAATGCCGGCTGGCGACCACTCGGGGGGGGAGCCTTTTCTGTTGCTGCTCCGGCTCTGTGGAACGAGTTACCAACAGAGATCCAGGCCCTCCCCACCCT